TAAGTTTAGGTTTGTTTCCGTGCTAACTAAATGTTCAGATGTATATCTGCCAGTTATTTAGCTATTTCTGTTAAAACAATGGGTATTTCTGAAGGCTAAAAATTATGCAAAGCAGAAAAATGTGAATATGGCTTCAACCATTATGCAGTTGTTTTTTTTAAAAAAAAAAACACCATTAAGAGTGCAAAGATTGATATCATGACTGCTTTCAGCCGATTGCCACTATTTATGCAAGTGGGCTGCTTTTTAACATAAAAGTTATTTGTAAACAGTTTATTAGATAGTTACTCATGCTGCTTGAAAAAATGAAAAATGATATTCTCACTATGCAAATTATGCAAAATCAATGTATTGTAGTGTCACATCAAGCCCACTAGATGGCAGAAGGAAGGAAGGAAAGTTCATATGAAGCAAATTTCTGAAATCCAAGGTATTATTTGTTATTCATATTCACAGATTAACACCAGAAGTCATTCTTTGATTTAAAACAGATCATTCAATTGTACTCTACATGAATTATAAAGTCATTACATAAAAAAACACTTTAATTCATCTATTAGGAACAGTTCAAATTATTTAATTGGCTTACATTAACCTGACCCATAATTTACAGTGCGATGGATCATACACAACTTATTGCTGCAGCCAACAGCAGATGAAAAGGATAACAGTATGGTGCTAAACATCCAGAACTAGAGGCAGTAATTCATATCACTTTTTTAAAATACAGAAGCCTTTTCTACCAATTTATTTTTTTCACCAGTGCATTTTGTGTCCAACCATGTGATAAGTGCATTATTTTGTGCTTTGTTTGTTTGTTTTTCTCCTAAAGGCTTTATACACAAAAGAGTTAGTATTGCTTTTTATAATGGTTTAAAAGTAGTAAGAAAGCTGCTCATGGCACTAACAAGTCTTTGTGATTTTGGCAAAAAATGAAATTGAACTCCTTGACTGAGCAGCCATTTTAGGGTTCTCTTCAATTTTTCTCATCTGGGTTCATGGAATCTTGTACTTTGAGATTCAGTAAAGTTTAATGCTCTACCATGTAACAGATGGCCCTGACATCTCTGTTTTAAAAATGCAACACACTGAAAGCCTGCTCAGATTGTGGACTTTGGGTTCTAGATCAGAAGTCCCCAACCTTTTGGGCACCAGGGATGGGTGCCATGGAGAAAGGTTTTTCCCCAGAGGAGGTGTGGTTTTGAATACTGCCTGCATCCCAAGGATGTCGCTTTGCTTGTTTGTGTGGCCCACTTGCTGGCATGCTGCAGACCGGTGCCAGTCCACGGACCAGGGGTTGGGGGTTGGGGACCCCTGTTCTAGATGATAATGATGATGATGGTGGTGGACAAAAAAAAAATCCTCTGGGGCCATATGTTACACTTGAAAAGTTTGGCACCAGTCTCCTAGATTTGATTTGCATGAACTACAAATATGAAAACTCTAATGTAAGCATATTAAAGGGAAAATCCAAAGAAAAATAGTGAACAGCTAGTGAGGAAAAGCCAAATATATCATGTTGCAGACTGTGAAATGACAAAATGCTCCATATTCTAAAGAACATACAACAGAAATGGTGGAATGCAAAAATTTCATCTAAGGGAATCTAAGATGATAGATTGTATTTCCACTAAGCTGTGAGATGCTCTAAATTCAGTGACAGGGCACAGTTACATTTTATTTAGGTCTAAGTGTCTGTTTCTTGATTCAAAATACTACAAAACAGAATCCAGCAGAATGGCTTTTCTTAAAAAGCAGCCTTGTTTCACCATGGAGGTTATGTATATATATGTTACGTTGCAGTCATAGAACTTGACACCGGAAAAGAATTTCTGTTATTAAAAATCTTAGGTTCTGTTTTTTTTCCCTCCAGAAGAAATAAGGACATTTCTAGTCCTTAGTGTGCAAAGGCAGATTTGAAAGCCCATAAAAGTAATGCCTGATAAAAACCATAGAATTCAGTGAGTAGATTACAAACTTGGGTCTCTCTTCTGCCACCCACCCCCACCCTAAACCCCTACTCTTGTATGCACTGAAAACAGCTTAGACCTTCATTGTATCTGTATAATGGACATTCCAACAATGACATTAAATGAAATGGGTTGTGCAAAAAAAAAAGCAAATATGTCTTTTAATATGCATAATCTACAGTGTTTGCATTGAAGTTAAAAGGAGAGAAATGTGGTATCAAGAAAGCAGACTCCTGCAAAGCAGGGCCAGATCCAGCTCTTTATTCACTTAAAAAAAAGAAAAAAAAAACCCTTATAATACAAGCCATTGGCATTGCTCAGGATCAAGCTATCAGTAGAGATAACTGTGACCTGCTTGGTTAGGCTTTGAACAGCATTCTGTCCCAAAGTCAGATAAACTTAAAAAATAGTTATAAAAACAAAAAATATCAAGAATCAAGTCCACAATAAAATGCTAACTACAGTTAGATAGTATATGGCAGTTTCATGCAACCTTGTGCCTCCAAACACTGTCTGGGAACCTCTACGGTGGGCATCAGTTTGGGGAAAATAGATCTATGGCAATTACAGACTGTTCATCAGCTATTGAACGTGAGGTATCTGCTGTGCATGGGCTGAATACTCATTTCTAAATTATACTGTTTTGCAGCCTTTTTAACTTGCAAAAAGTATTGAGCTGATTAAGGTGTCTCAGCAACAAAAGCATTCAAATTTCTACTCCTATCATATGGATACAAACATTCTTAAGTATTATCAGCATTCAGGTAGTCAGTTTGGAGCAAACTGAGCACTGATGAGCTGAAAAATATGTTAAGGTTAAAAGAAAAGGTCTTTACTTCAAGTCATCTTCTCTGCCTCTAAGAGATTGGCAAAGCTGAAAACAGGCCCAGGCCCCACTTCCACTGTGCAACTCGACTTAAAAGAGCAGCACAATTTGGCCTTAGTGGTTTCAAGGAGGTTTCATAAAGCAAAAAAGTGCATGGCAGGCTCATGATTGCGGAGCCTTATTTTACCACTTTACTTGATCATCTTTTCTCACTAACATTCTGAAGCAGGGGTCTTCAAACTTGGCCCCTTTAAAACTTGTGGACATCAACTCCCAGAATTCCTTAGCCAGCGTGCCTAGCTGAGGAATTCTGGGAGTTGAAGTCCACAAGTCATAAAAGGGCCAAGTTTGAAGACCCCTGTTCTGAAGGCTTATCTCTGTCCAGTAGCCCAGACTTCCTGAATATATAAGCAAAGAAAATCCAGACATGGGAGTCAAAAACTTTAGGAAATGCAAGAACTGTGGGAGGATCAGAAACTCTTTGTTTCATGACCTCAGCCCAACAACTACCCCCAGTGTGATTCCCTCCCTTCTCCCCTCAAAATCTCCTACAGTCATAGTTCATAAAGATTACAGCTAAATTTAAGGCACTTCATTCTTCAGGAGATAGGATTCCATGCTATGGAGGAAGCTTATCTCTTGCTCAACAGGTTAGCTTATACAACCTCTGTATAAAATAATTAGGCAAGGTAATAATACAGGCGCCACTACTGTTATTGCATAGGCCTACATCAGAGTAGATAATGCACAGAACATGCTCTTACAACAACACTGTTGCATGGTTAAATCTAACATTGTTGGGCTCAAGACAGTCACCTGAAGGTACAGTATTTTTTTTTCCAACACAACTGCTGAAAAGTGTAATAGGGTATGAAAGAACATAGCAATCGTATTTTCAACAATATTATTCTCACTAAAAAATAAGGAACATGTTGGGGTTTCCCCCACACCCAGACTTTCTGTTTTATACTGAGCTCTGTTTTGTTAACTACATTAAATCTGCATTATTATTTAAACTATCTGTGTCAAAACATTCCTTTCAAAGAAGACTGTAATATACAAAATAGCCACAAATCCACTCGTGAAAAGACAGGTACCTGTACCAAAGCTTATACTGAAATGTACACAAAAAATGTAAAACAATCCATTTGTGTGTGTGCCTTCAGTCAGTTTTTGATTCCTGGCAACCGCCTGGAATTTTCTTGGCAAGATTTTGGAAGTGAGTTGCCCTTGCTTGTTTCCTAGGGCTAAGAGAAAGTAACTGGCCCAAGGTCACCCAGCTGGCTTTGTGTCTAGGACAGGACTAGAATTCATGGTCTCCCAGTTTCTAGTCTGGTGCTTTAACCACTACACTAAACTGGCTTTCTTTCAGTGGAATTTAACTGTCAAAAACTTGATGCAACGGCTAGAGGCATTTTCTTATAAAAATGTATTCAAAACGAAATGTTGACTCAAAAAATTTAAAATTTCATTTAAATTAGATATTTGTACCCCATATTTTTTTAAAAAGAAATACTATTTATGCCCCATTGAGAAAAAAATACTGTTTGTATTATGAACTCTTGTACAGTATTTTTTTAAAAAAATAATTTCCTCATGATTATTTAAAAGTAATGTTTTTTGAAAAGGTGAGAGGTTAATTTTGAAGAGTGTTTACTCAATGGATAATAATATGAACTTAAATATGACTGAATCTTTAGATATGTCTCCTTTGCATTAAATCTAGCTGAACTGTACTTAAAATCAGTTAGTTTCTGTATCTGTTGATACATGTATATTATCTGTCGCCTTGGGAAAGATTATATGAATTAATAGATATTGTATACTTTTTTCCTTAAGGAGGCACTATTAAGTCAACAGAAAAATTGTTTATACAAAGCTAATTTTCTTTTTGGTTTCTATACATTCTTCTTCATTTCATTTCCAAGTCACTTTGCTTAGTTATACTGAAGTTTCTCTTTAGTAGAACTTGCTGATCTGTAGACATCTATTGCTTCTGAGAAGAGATAAAATCAATTGGAGTTCCTTGATGAATCTAGTTCACAGATACAGTACTATACTTTGGAAGCACTGGTAGTTATAAAACAATGTACAAGTCTTTTCAAACATTAAAAAAGTCACATACGCCGAACTATCTGTAGACTTATATATTCAAATATTAGGGGGAGGGAAAGAACAAATTACTTTAATCTACCGATCAGGAAATGAAGAAGTTTGTGAGAGGCCTGTCTAAGGATATCCACTAACAAGCATGGTCAGTATCTTCCATGCTTACGCTGCTCCGCCGGCTACTTGTATTTGAAGCCCCAGGAGAGACCGACGTTAAGAGTGGATCAGTAACCCCAACAGGAGACAGAGTATCATCCATCAACATATCTTCCAGTTTAGATCCCATTTTGGGAGGGACAGCATAAGTGCTTGTGGCCGATTCTGTCATGTTTGCCAGGCTGCCGTTGAAAGTGATGGTGCCATCGGTGAGGTCAAGAGTGGTCGTGGAAGAAAGCTCAGGGTGATGCTGCTGTAGGATTTCCTGGCTGCAGTTGTCAAGGACGGGCTCTTGTTTGATCAGCCGGTTTACTATTTCTGGAGAGCAAAGGCCCGTAGTTGGGAGGATGGAAAGTCCGTGAGCTCGAGCCTGCATTTCAAGCTCCTGTTATGAAGAGGCGTGAAAAACAAGAAATGCGTTGAACGGGTTTAAAAAGAACGGCAACTTTAGAATTTAACATTTTTCTTAAAAGCAGGCAAGCCTTCTGTTCCAAACCCTCTTACAAATAATTATATTATTCATCCAACGTAGGTTTCTTTCTAGACACGAGTTATGGAAAAAAGGGCAATCACCAAAGTGAAAAGTGCAGTAGAGCACACTGGGAATAAAAGATAATTATTGTTTCTCTATCAGAGTGCCAACATTAAGAAATTACTATATATGCTGGAAGGGAAGCAGCTTTTGGTATCTGTTTGAGAATAAGCAGAAGATAGGTATATCTTTCATGCAATTTCCTCTCTTCACTCAGTCTCAGAGTGAGGCCAATGGGGGTTCATTATGCTCTCTATAAGACTGCTTCCTGTGTGATTAAAAAATTGCTCTTAATACTGCTCCTAGCAAGTGGGGATCCCAGCCTTTCCAGCTCCGCGACCGGCAGCAGCAGCGGGAGGGTGGAAAGGATGGTTTTGTGTGTGCAACCTAATCCTGCACTTGCACAAATGGAGCTTTCCAACAACATACTGAAAGAATTCTACTATTTTATATCAAACTCAAGCCTTAGAATTTGATTGGGGGGGGAAGGTAGGAGGGATTTCTATTCCTTTTAGGGCACTGAATACCAACATCTTATCTAACTTGTAGCAAAGTGCCACTAAAACTGTAATGTATTGGCCACAACTGTTTTAAATCACTTGCTTAATGTCTGAGCTACATTGCTGCATTGTTTAACAGTTGCTGTTACTGAAAGTCAGACTGGCTGTCTCCAAGCTGATAATGAGGTTTGGGGCGGGAAACTTTAACTTTAAAGTTTAAAGTTGGTTAAACTTTGGGGCAGGAAACTTTACTTTAAACCTATTGGTTGCCACCTAGAGGCTAACTGTATAAATAGCTGTGCAGCAGCCTTTAGGGCTGCTTCTGTTCTGAGTTAATAAACTTGTTTGCTGTTTCAACACTCTGCCTCGTTCAATGCCTAAAGAACCGAAGATATAACAAAAACAACCAAGCATACTAGGATTTTGCCTCAAGCTCATCAAGTAACTATTAAAGTATCTGTTGCCACATATGGCCAATAGGCCTAGAACAGGGGTAGGCAACCTTGGCTCTTTTATGACTCGTGGACTTCAATTCCCAGAATTCCTGAGTCAGATATGTTGAGGGGAAAGGGAGAGTTTCCAAGCTGAGCCATGCTGGCTCAGGAATTCTGGGAATTGAAGTCCACGAGTCATAAAAGAGCCAAGGTTGCCTACCTCTGGCCTAGAACATGAAGAATATACCTCAACTTACAACCATTCCTTAAGCATAAAGTTGCAATACCATTAAAAAAAAGATTGGCTTGTGACCAATTCTCATAAGTTATGATCGTTGTAGCGTCCTCAAGGTCAAAATATGGAGGCTGGCCTTTACTTATGATAGCAACAGTGTCCCAGGGTCAAATAATTTCCATTTATGACCTTCCCAGTCAGTTTCCAAAAACAAAGTCAAATGGGGAAGACAGATTCACTTAATGACCATATGATTCATTTAACAGCTGCATTGATTTGCTTATCAAACATGGCAAAAGCAGTAAAATGGGGTGTGATTCATGTATTTATGATAATTGCTTCCAGACTGATTAATATTCTAGAACCATTCTGGAAACAAACCCTAATTATATTATGTAGTAGAAATTATAGCATGAATTTTCATTTAGGTTTTTAACCGTTTTTATTCTGTCCTCACTTCAAAAGAGGCATTAGTTGCCTTGATAGAATAGAATAGAACAGAACAGAACAGAATAGAATAACAGTTAGAAGGGACCTTGGTTGGACCTTCTAGTCCAACCCCCTGCTCAGAAATTAAGAAATCAAGAAATCAAATCACACAGTTTGTAACCTTTATATACTAATTAGCAAACCTGTATTCTAAGCAAAAGATGTCTATTGGCATGTTCCAATTTCTTTTGTCTGTTCTCTAGCTCTTTCGTCCGTTGCTGTTCTCTTTGCAGTTTGCGGATATAGTCCACAGAGGCTTTTAAAATAGTTCCCTTGTTCCAACGCATGTCTCTGTAAGAATAATCCAGATCATTATATCTATAAAGAAACACTAATCACAGCAGGTAGAAGCACCTAGTTAACCTTGGCTGGCCTGAGAAACTAAACAGGGTCAGTTAGACTGTCTATGGAGATACTGAAACATCCAGGTCATGGTTCTCCCAAAGATGCTTTTCCAAAAGGCAATTGGCCCTGCCTTCTTCTCGTTCCCCTTCTCCTTCTCCTTCTCCTTCTCCTTCTCCTTCTCCTTCTCCTTCTCCTTCTCCTCCTCTCCCTCCCTCTCTCCTCCTCCTCCTCCTACATGTACAGTTTAAAACGAGGTATTTCTGCTAAATAGAACACATATCCAATCATTTCTTAAAAGCAATGTACCTTCTTAGAGTAATTTATTATATACTTACGGATCATTTGACTTCGGTATCAGAGTACCAAGTTCTTTTATGCGATCATTAATATTGAATCGTCGTCTTCTTTCAACTTTTAAGAAAGCAGTATAAAATTAGGAATCAGTGACGGAAGAGAACATTTGAAAAAATAACAAACCACCTATATTATTAACTGATCGCTTATTTCAATTAAAGAAATATACTCTACAATAGATTTATCAACACAGCACAAATTGGACAGAATAAGATCTCTAAGCCGCATCCACAGACTCCAAAAATCAAACTAGAAACACTTTAATTTTGTTTTAAATTATTATTTTTTCATTTCAAAATTGTCATAACACAAAAGATTTTGGCATAAATATATAGCAAAAGTCCTTTAGAGAATAAATACATCAAGAGCTCCTGATATTAAAAAATATGACCTTTTAAAATAATTTATATCTATGTAGCTACATTTCTGTTATATTAAACATGGAGAAGCCAACAATATTAAAGACGTTTGCTTAAAAATTCAGATTAAGTATAGTATCCAGATGGTTTTACAATGAATATATTTTATTATTTACATCTATTTACATAGACTTAACAATGCTCTACTCCCAGCTAACACATAAACTCTTTAATTAAATTTAATTAATTTATTCATAATCAATTCTTAATTTTGGAAACACAGGAAGGCTTTGGTACAGTGGAATGATAAAGATACGATTAGATTAACTAGATTAAAATGGTTTCTTACTAGCCCTTTACTATTTATGTTAAAGGTGAAAAACAAACAAACAAACAATCAGTGACTTTATTATCTTACTGGATGTTTTCAATGTCACTTTGGTTTTTTGATTCCAGCCAAAAATTATTTGGATTAAAATGTAAAGGAATCATATATACAGTAATTTTATAAGAATATAGTATTTTTATATTACAGAAACTAAACAAATACTGTGGAAAATTATTAAATTCCTTACAAAATCTGCTCAGTGTCAGGGTATAAAATTAATGTGTTTTTTTTTTAAAAAAGTAATAAAATAACAAATAAATATCTAATTCCCTCTGCAGAAAGATCAACTGGACATTTGGAGATATTTAAGTAATTATATTTTCCTTCCATTATTATGAGAATGGGTTAAGTAAGCTTTTAAAATCACAAAGATGCAGTCTATTGGTTCTTGTCTATTGTTAATTGACCATTTAAAAAGAAAAAAGAAAGAAACAAGGAACTTACTTAAATTGTGATTGTCTTTCTTTTGTCTCTCTTTGGCCAAAGCTCTTGCCTCTGATTCTGTGGGAAATACACATGATATGCATATTAATGAAGTAGTCATTAAAAGGCAACACTTGCAAAGTAAACTTTGATATTTCTCTGCTGCATTCTACTTCATATATACTCTAACTGATGTATCTATATACCACCTATACTGCATCATAGCAAAGCCTTCTGGTATATTTCCATGATCTAATATCATGGATGCTCAATCTGACCTATTGGAGATATAGGTTCAAGTTAAGAGATCCAGAACTGTCAAAGCCGGTAGGTAAAGATAATGAATGTGCAGCATGATATTGTCTCTGTCTTTTCTTTATAATATGGCTAGCTGTCGTTAAAGGACCAATTTTAACATTCAGGGATATCCTTAGCAAGAAAACAGAATTTCTGAATGCAAAAGTGGGATTCAAACCCTCGGTCCATGAGGTGAAAAACAAACTCAACAAATCACAGCTTGTAGAAGACTAGCATATGAGAAATAACATTCTAGACTGTTTTTCTCTTCAGCAACTCAGAAGGAGTTTTACTGGCGTTTTATACTAGTATAATACTGTTGGTAATTGGGTTTCACCAATAAATGTGATTTGTGAAATCTCCTCTTTTATGATGATTCCAAATGCTATCTTTCCCATTAAGATAGCCACAGATGCAGAGATAAAATGCAGAGGTGGAACTTTTTAGATGGTTATCTATTTATCACAGAAAATCAGAGCTCCCATTGCTAGGATCTTTAGAGTAGCGAGAAAGAGTATGTAAATTGACTGGGGTCTCTTTCTCATGTGGATCAGGCATGCAGAAGTGTACTAATCCCTAGAATCTAGTGTAGCTGTAATGCTACCACCTTAAAGATTAGAAATGATGAATCCGAATAGAGCTGGAAGGGACCTTGGAGGTCTTCTAGTCCAACCCCCTGCTCAAGCAGGACACTTTATACCATTTCAACAAGTGGCTGTCCAGTCTCTTCTTAAAGACCTCCAGTGATGGAGCACCCATGATTTCTGAAGGCAAGCTGTTCCATTGGTTAATTGTTCTCACTGCTAGAAAGTTTCTCCTTAATTCCAGGTTGCTTCTCTCCTTGATTAGTTTCCATCCATTGTTTCTTGTCTTGCCTTCTGGTGCTTTGGAAAATAGGATGACCCCTCTCTTCTTTGTGACACCCCTCAAAGGTATGCAGCCACACTGGTATTATGTCACCCCTAGTCCTTCTTTTCTCTAGACTAGCCATACCCAATTCCTGCAACTGTTCTTCATATGTTTTAATATATCCTTCATGCAGTAACATAATAAAGTAACATTTTCAGTTGAGGCAGCAGCTAACCTGAGGATAACGGGCTGCATTCAGTTATGCCTCCATCTGCCAGAATATTTTCCATCAGTAGAACAGGAAAGGAAGAGATTCCTCCTTTTTCGTGTACCCCTGTGTACCCTGCACCCTCAAAATCTTCTCCAGAAGGTTGGGGAACGAGACGGCCAAGTCCTGTTGCACAAGTATAAAAGTCATTTTGTGCAACGTTGGATTTTATCCATTAAACTATTAGGTTTGCTCCAAGGAAGCGGCATACTATAATAAAGTAATACTTTTTTTCTCCCTAACCACTAACATTAAATTTAAAAAAAGCTACACATATTAACCATTGGATGAAGGTCAACCATGCAGTGAAACGTCTGTATTGGCTATTCCTAGATAATTTCCAAATACGGGTAATAAAGGCCTCTTTATTATAAAATCATAATAATGAACAAATGTTGCATCTTTCTTAATGAAGCTGCATCAGACACAATGATGCTTTATCTTTGCTGGTTTGTTTTTTCCCCCCTCCTGTCCCTTCCTTAAAAAAAGAAAGACAAATATTATACACTAACAAAAATCTTTTCTGCACTCATGACTTGCCCATCAATTCAAGGATGCTGTTTTAGGTCCATACAACGTGACTGGTACAAGGAACTTTCTCAGAAAACTTGATATTTCACATTTGAACACAGCATTGTTTATTTTCAGACTACTCTATGTGAACCATAGTGTACATACAACAAATGACCCTTAAGCAAATGAATAGTGAAAAAAGACACTCGGTTATCAAGTGAAGCTTCATTTTCCTTTTCGCTCTATACTTTCTATCACGTGTTCTGTTCCTTATAAAGTTGTTTTACACCAAATTGGGCTGTTTGTCTACCAAGCTCATTTCTGCCTATGCTAAATAACCCTTGTGCCTCAGCTACCACAGAGAAATTAACTGTCCGGGTGACTGAAATTTTACTTCCTTTAGTTTTTAGGCTCAAGTAGGAATAGCAGTTGTGTGTTCCACAAGACTGCAATTCTCACTGGTAACCTCAGGTTATCCTGATCTCCCTTGTCTTCTCTCCCAGCTAGCCAAGCGCAGAGGAACTATGGAGACTTGCAAGAGAGGACCTGTTCTGTTGACAGCACCAATAGAAACCAGTGTCCTTGGCTCTTCTGAGAGGGCAGAGAGTTTGCTAGCCTTGTAACGTCGCTCCCATGTAACGCCGCTGCTGCGCGAGCTGCACTGGCTGCCTGTGGCCTTCCGAGTGTGCTTCAAGGTGTTGATTATCATCTTTAAAGCGACCATGGCATTGGACCTGGTTACCTCCGAGACCGCCTTCTGCCACAGATTACCTCCCACCGGCCGATACGCTCCCACAGAGAGGCCCTCCTCAGGGTGCCGTCAACCAGACAGTGTCGGCTGGCGACCCCCAGGGGGAGAGCCTTCTCTGTCGGAGCACCCACCCTCTGGAACGAGCTGCCCCCAGAGATCCGGGTGAT